GTGCCCCGCTCTCGCCATGCCGCCGGCCCGCGTTATGCCTGTTACTTGATGATGGTACCACTTGCCCTTCGGTCGATCCTTCCTTGCCTTCGCATTCCTGTGTTTACTCGTCCTCGCTCCCTCCTCCGTCGTGCTACCCTCGCTGTGTCCTCGCTCATCCTGCCGCTTCTCTTTTTCTCCCGAGGTTCCTCCTCTCCCCATTTTCTCGTGCCCATCCTCTTCGTGCTGTTGCTGCGGCTGCTTGGCGAGGGTTTCCCTACCTCCTCGCACACACTTCCTCTTTCCCCCACTTCTCTGTCTCCCTCCTCCCCTCCCCGCCCTCTCCCTCCCCCCTCCCCTTCTCCCCCCCACCTGTCTCCCTCCCCTCCTCTTCTTTCTGCCCCTCCCCCTCTCCCTCCCCTCTTCGTCCTTATCCCCCCTCCCCCTCCCCACTCCCTTCAGCCCCGCCTGTCGGTCCCATTACCCTCCTCCCTTTCCTTCCCTTCCCCCTCGTCGTCGTTGTCGTCGTTGTCGTCGTGGTCGTCGTCGTCGTCGTCGTCGTGGTCGTCGTCGTCGTCGTCGTCGTCGTCGTCGTCGTCGTCGTCGTCTCTGTCGTCGTCGTCGTCGTCGTCGTCGTCGTCGTCGTCGTCGTCGTCGTCGTCGTCTCTATCGTCGTCGTCGTCGTCGTCGTCGTCGTCGTCGTGGTCGTCGTGGTCGTCGTCGTCGTCGTCGTCGTCGTCGTCGTCTCTATCGTTGTCGTCGTCATCGTCTTTGTCGTCTTTGTAGTTTTTGTCGTCGTCGTGTTTGTCGTCTTTGTAGTCTTTATCGTCTTCGTCTTTGTCGTCGTCTTTGTCGTCTTTGTCGCCGTCGTCTTTGTGGTCGTCTTTGTCCCCCCTCCCTCCTGCTCCATCCCACTTCCTGATACGCAACTCCTCCCCGTCGCACCACTCGACGGCTCGTTAGGGGCGGGCTGGGCGTTTTGCCAGAGACACAATTTTGGAGCTCGAAATGTCCAACAGCTCGATGGATAACCGTTTTCAGAATGGAGCTCTCGCCTTGGCGCCGCGCACAGTAGTTGACGTTCCGACAATTATATCGATGGAGGGCTGACGAGATCCCACGCGTCCGCAGCCGTGTTGCGGCTTAGAGAACAAGCTTAGTCATGGTAGCGGGGTGCGGCTAGCGCTCCACCCAATCCACACCCGCAAAATGGCCATGGCGGGGCTGCTCTGGGTGCGCCGGGAGAGGCTAGCGCTCCAGTGCGTCAGGCGACGCGCTGGCAGGCACGATGAACGAGCAGCAAGTGATGCAGGCCTTCGCATCGCTTGCCGACACGCTGCGGCAGACTCAGGGGAGGACGAGCCCTGCGCGCTGTGGGCGCGCAGGTTGGGGAGCAAGGCGCCGCTCTTCATGCCGCGCCGCAGCAGCAGGGGAGGCTCATGGAGGCCGAGATCGCGGTGCGCAGGAGGCAGGGGATGGTCGACACGAAGGCGGTCAAACAGCCTGCACCTTTCTCTGGCAAGGCGGCCGACTGGCCCGGCTGGAGCTCCGAACTCTCGACATGGTGTTGGACTTGGCGGCCGGCTTCGGTGAGGAGGTGGAGACCCAGGACAGGCTGGATGAGGTCCAGGCGAGGCACCCCGCAGCACAGGACATCGACAAGCAACTCCATGCGGTGCTGGCGAATCTAACTACGATGGGCATGGCGGCATTCGCGTTGAGAGCACGGAAAGAGGAACCAGGGGCTGGACGCCTGGCGGAAACCCAGCCGCAAGGGCGACCCGAACAACCCCGTGTCCACTTTGGGGTTGATGCAGAAACAGAATATCTAGAGGCCGTCCCGTGTGGGGACGCTGTTGTCCGCGATCGAGCAGTGGGAGCAGGACTACACCCACAGCAAGTACAGGGTAGGCGAAAAGCTGTCCAGCACGATGCGGCGCGCGTGCCTGCGTAGCGTGTGCCTCATTGAGTTGCATAACCTCATCGACTTAAACATAGGGCGGCTGGACATGTACAACGCCCTGAAACGCGAGGTGGGGCGGTACATCGAGCAGGTAGTCTGCCAAGAGGGACTCGTGTCGACGGACATCGGTTCCCTTGCGCAGATCCCGGAGGGCGACAAACCCACGGGAAAGGAAGGCAAAAAAAAAAAGGCAAAGGCAAGGACAGATACCTGCTTAAAGGTGGCAAGGCTGGAAGGCCTCCGACAAGGGCTCCTGGGCGTTAGCGCCGGACGCGGCGCGCAGAGTGGACAGTTCCGCGGCTGCTTTGTTCGCTGCCGGCGGTGGAGTCGCAGGGCGCGCGACTGCTACAGCAATGCCGACGTCAACGACAGAGAGTCGGTGTCAAGCCAACGTGCTAATACTATGTGTGCGTCGCCCCCCAAGGGCGACGCCCGCGCCGAAACTTCTTATAGTATGCGCTCTGTTGGGGGTGCTTTCTGGCCGCGCCGCTCGAGAAGCGATCTGCTACAAGATGGCTGTAACGCATGTTCGGGCCAGACGCGCGCCTCCCTGGAGGACGCATCGTGGTATTGTGTTTCTGTGCGTCCTATTGCAGGGCGCGCGATTGCGACAGCAAGACCGACGTCAGCGGCTGGCAACTCCTTCGGCCCTCGGTGCCGCCAGCGATGGGGGCAGCCCCCTCCGGGGTGTACAGTCGCACCGAGGTGTAAGGATCGAGGTCGGGTCGGGAGGGCCCCCTAATATTTTCCGTGTTACTTGGATGTTCTCGTGCATCCTTGGGGAGGTTGCCCTTGGGGTATTGTGCTTTTTTTGGCCGACGGAGGGTCTCGTCTTCTCGAGGGGTGTCCTTCTAGCGTAGGTGCGACTGCGGGGGGGGGGCCGATGGGGCCGCTCAGAGGGTCCGCCCGCCTTGGCGGATCGGCCCATGGGCCTGCCCGTTGCGAACGAGGAACTCTGCTTTCGGCGGACGCCCAGAGAGATAGTTCGATTGGATCTCCTTCCGCGTTGGACAAGGAAGGGGCCGAGGGAAGACAGAAGGCAAATGTCAATGGCCCCAGGATCGTGCCAGAAGGAGGATGGCACCGGCGTAGCAGCCCATGCCGAAGGCTGGCGCGTGGGCCAGGGCAGCGAGCAGAGGGGGAAGGAACATGCGTTTGAGTAGCAAAAGAATCAGGGGGATAAAAATAAGGAAGAGGGAGCGCGCCATATCGAGCACCCCAGGTAGGAGGCGAGGACTTCGACCGCAATTGCAAGTGTGAAGCGCAAGACGCCAGGTCAGCGGAGAGCGGGATGAGGCTGAACGCGCAGCTTCACGTCTCGATTGGGGCCGCTGGGTGCAGGCCCGGCACGCGGCCCGACAGAGGCGACGCGACCGGCCCAGCCGCCCAGGCGCGACGCCCAAGTGGCAGGCGAGACCCAAAGTTGAGTCGTTGCCACCGCCGCGGGCGGCCGCCGACCTCGGCTGCGCAGCCGACCCGTTGTCTTTGGGGGCGCGTGGGTGAGGTGCCGCGGCCGACTCCGCGATCGCTTTCGGCGCGGAGATCGTCGTCGGCTTCGCCGCGGCGCTGCGCTTGCAAATTTGCCGGCGAGAGCGCCTGGGGGGAGCGGCGCGCAGATCCCCGGGGGGGCCGTTGAAGACGACCGCGGCGGGGGCCTGGGCGTGAAGATTGCAGGACTGAGAGGCGGGGGAGGAAGGTTCATCAGGGGGAGAATGATCCCTAGAATAGGAACGGGCAGCAGGAGTGGAGGACACATCAGGAGAGGAGGTCGCAGGAAGCGAGGCCCCCGCTGGATTTGCGACCGCGCTGCCCGCCCACAGCTTTAACCAAATTGCGGCTGGGTCCGAGCAGGAATCGCGACGGCGGCGATGGCGATCAGCAGCCCTGGGCAGCCGCGAGGCGGGCGGCGAGCGCCATGGGGGCAAGGCTCAGTCCGTCACGGGCCAGCTGCGAGCCCTCGCCCCAGGAGGGGGCGAGCCGTGGAGCAAGTGGGCGGAGGAAGGGCGCGAGAGGGTCGATGTCATCGTGGACTCCGGCGCCTCCGCGTCGACGCTTCCCCGGAGCGCGGTTCCCGGCCGCCCGTTGAGGCCGGGCGCGGGCCCGAAGGTTTATGAGACAGCTTCGAGTGATGAGGTGGGTGGGTGGGTGGGGTGGGGGGGAGATGGAGTTCGTCTGCGGCTTCGCGAACGGGGGAAACGTTGTGGCGGCGTGGGGGGTCGGCGACGTCCATTGGCCGCTCCGTTCGCTCAGCCGCGTGATTCGCGATGGGAACTGCGGGTGGTTCGACCCGGTCGCGAGCGGCGGCGGAGGCGCTTGCAATGGCGGGGCGGGCCAGATGATGGACATCTTTCAGAGGGGCGGGATATGCGCGCTGCCCGCTTGGATCAAGCGGGCCGGGAAGCCGTCGGGTTCCGGGTCGGCGGGCGAAGCCGCGAGTCCGCAGCGGCCTGCGATCTCGCCGACCGCGGGGGCTGTCCCGGAGGCGCCGCAGGATGCGATGCCAGACTGGCCAGAGGTAGCGGCAGCTGTGGAAAGGGGGCACTGACTCAGCGGCGACGTCGGCGCCCGTGCAGCCGACGAAGCAGATGATTGAGCATCGCGAGGTTAGCAGACCTTTCCGCGGTTGGTGTGCGGCGCGTGCTGGCCGCGAGCCAGCCCCATCTCAGGGTGCGCGATCGTGTGCGTGAATATGTGTGTGTGTGTGTGTGTGTGTGTGTGTGTGTGTGTGTGTGTGTGTGTGTGTGTGTGTGTGTGTGTGTGTGTGTGTGTGTGTGTGTGTGTGTGGTTCCGCATTCGGCGTCGATTGCGGCTTCTTCGGGGCGCCCGGGGGATCTCCGTTGCAGGCCGCGGCGGGGAAGGAGTTGCCTGTGTGGTAGTGGCCGTTGACAGGAAGTCGAAGGCTATCCTCGCAAATCTGGTGCACCGCATGGGCTTCGGAGGGGGCGGCGAGGTGGGCGACTGCCCAGTAGAGGTCCTACTCCGAGTTCTGGACAGGCTGGGTGGCGAGAAGGTCAACGGCAAGATCGACCGAGAGGTGTCGATCTTGGCTGTTTGCAAC